CCAACATAACTAACTGTGCAGATAGACAACCTGAGTCCTTAGCCCAGAAGTAGAAAAAGGGGTGTCTGTCGCCAGCCTCTTCTCCAGTGTGGGTCTCCTTTCCTCTGCCCCCCCCCCCCGCAGAATCCGCAGCTTGGGCCACCTGTCTTTCCTCCCATAGTGAAAAGTCAAACAGATCACTCTTCATGGGTCCTTGGGTCTCAGCCAGATCCTAGAGGAGCGTCTCCGGGTGCCCACCCTCTCCAGCATGGTTCTACTGCTCCCAGCACCCTCCCTCTTATCAAGCCCGTTCCCTGTCTCCGTGGCGACACCCCCTCACCCAGCTTCCTTGGGTGGCCTGGTTGCCTCACAGGGTAAACCTCTGAGAACATTTTCCTAATGTGCCGCCAGAAGCTTCCACTTCCTGTGCCCAGGGCTACCCCTTCTCATAGCGCCACACCCTTCACTTCAGCAGCCTCTCCCATCAACACCCTCCATTTCCCTCCCACCACACCGTGCTGCGTCCAGTCGAGAGGACACATGGCCCCTCTGGGTGTCCCAAGGCCTACTGACAGCTGCCCACCACACCCTCTTGGCTGTCAATGACAACAGTAGTGAGCTCGGCTCAAAACAAAACTTTGGTGTCCAAAAATTATTAAGAATTTCATAATGGCAGCAGTAGATAATTAAGCCTGGGTACTGTGGAGTGTGGGGTCCCACACAACTGAATAGACCCCATGCCCTGAACTTAGCCCTGGAGAGCTGAGTGTGTGTGTGTGTTGTGTTATATGTGCTATGATGTATTTGTGTTGTGTGTGTGACATGCATGAGTATGGTATGTATTTGTATGTATTGTCCATGTATGTTTTGTGTATGTGTGTATAGTATGGTATATATGTTGTGTATGTACATGTGGTGTGCTATGTGGTGATGCGGTATGTGATATGTGTGTTGTATGTGGTGTGTGTAGTATGTGATGTGTGTGTAGTAAATGGTGTGTGTAGTATGTGGTGTGTGTGTAGTATGGGATGTGTGTGTAGTATGTGGTGTATGTAGTATGTGATGTATGTGTAGTATGTGGTGTGTGTAGTATGTGATGTGTGTGTAGTATGTGATGTGTGTGTAGTATGTGGTATGTGTATTTGTGATATGTGTGTAGTGTGTGGTGTGTGTAGTATGTGATGTGTGTATAGTATGTGACGTGTGTGTAGTATGTGATGTTTGTGTAGTATGTGATGTGTGTGTATAGTATGTGATATGTGTGTAGTATGTGGTATGTGTAGTAATGTGTAGTATGTGATGTGTGTGTAGTATGTGGTGTGTGTTGTATGTGATGTGTGTGTAGTATGTGGTGTGTGTCATGTGTGGTGTGTATAATGTAGTGTGTGTAGTATGTGGTGTGTGTCATGTGTGATGTGTATAATGTAGTGTGTATAGTATGTGGTGTGTGTTGTATGTGATGTGTGTGTTGTATGTGATGTGTGTGTAGTATGTGGTGTGTGTCATATGTTATGTGTGTAATGTAGTGTGTGTGGTATGTGTAGGGCGTGTAGTCATGCTCATGGGTGTGGTGTAGCATGCAATGTGATGTGTGGTGATTATACTGTGTGATGTGGTGTGTTCATAAGATGATGTTTACAGGTGATGTTCATGTTCACAGTGGTACAGCAGCGTTTGTTCAGTCACAGATTAGCTAGATTCGCAAACAGCATCACTCAACACCATGTCTACATGGACAAGGAAACAGACTGAAGGGTCAGCAGAGGCAGGAAAGGAGTCAGGCCTGTCCAGGGTCACACAGCGGAAGGAAGTCTACCCGACACTGAGGGAAAGACCTCAGTCTTCTCCCAAAGAGCCTCTGCCTTCCTTATATGTAGCCGCTCCAGGATACTTTGTAACTCTGAAAAGTTATAGCTCCAGCATGCAAACTGCCGGAATGAGGAAGTACCTGCCTGTGAGACACATGGATGTCCCGGCTCTGAAGGGCAATATAGGAAGGCACATGCAGACATACATGTGCCTCAAAACCACACAGACAATCACATCCGTCTCCTAGGACAGTCATGGGTCAAAGGACAACCTCTGTTCTGGGAGTGTCTCTATTCCCTCTGCTCCCTGAGGGGTCCCAGCGCCACCCTTGGGTGTGGGTGTGGGTGTGGGGGGTCCAGGCTTTGGATTCTCTGCTTGGCCTCCCTCCTCCAATCCTTACCCTCCTCTCACGCCCCCCCTTCTCTTGGCACCAGCTTCTCCCCTTTCCCTTTAGTGAGAGCCAGTTTGAAAGGGGCTGCCCTGCTAGACACCATTTGAAATCCACCTCCAACCCCACCTGGCCCCTCTACAGCAGCTGGGCTGGGTGCTTGTCTGGGGCAGGATGTGGGGAGGGGGGTGGGGTGGGTGCAGCCCCCTCCTCCCCGGAGGAGAACAATGAAGCCGCTGGCTGGCCTTGGTGGTGAGGTAGAGGGAGTGGGTGGGGGCATGGAGCTGCTTCAGAGCCTCTGAGTGCGGCCCCCGGGGGGACAGCTGAGTGATGAGGCCTGAGTCACAAGCCCTGCATACTCCTTGAACTCCTGCTCCTCTGCCTGTCAGAACACATCCAGAAATGCACAGGGTAAATATTTAGAGGTAATCGTTTTGTGTGTGTGTGTGTGTGTGTGTGTGTGTGTGTGTGTGTGTGTGTGTGTGGTACCTTGTACCTCCTCCTTACTGAGGATGAGCCAGGTCTGGGATTCGAGGGCAAGGAATTCAGGTACAATCAGAATGGCAGCCTGGGTGTGAGCATTGCTTTAGCCGGGCGTCATGAGGGTGGGACCCTGACTGACAACCACCAAGGAACCCTCTTAATTCCACAGGCCCCTGTCTTCACGGGGACCCCTGTGCCAACCGCAGCCTCCACTGAGCCCATTCTAGCCCCGCAGGGAGGGAGTCCAGGCAAGAGCAGCCTATGTTGTGCATGCCAGTTTCCCTGGCTTTACCCTGCATGGAATGTCTTCCTTCCTTGGAAGACACGGAGCCAGAGCTCAAGCCTTATCAAAGATAAAACATTTGAGACTAAACAGTCTTTTTATAGACCAGAGCTGGGCTCTCTCCACACGTGTTCCCCACCATTCCCAGCCTGCCTCTCTGAGCATGCCTGGAAAGAAAGCATGTTTCTGGGCGCGTGGAAGCTGGGAAGTTTGAGGGTGAATTGTACTTCTGGGAAAAGCTGGAAGTCACACAAGGACCCATGCTGCTCGGCCACCTGGTCTGCCTCTGCGGGGAGACAGGATGGAACCTAAATGTGTCAGGCATGTGCCTGTAACCTCAGACACCGAAAATGTTGAAATTGGGCAGTCCCCACACATCACGCCGCTGGCCCTTCACACTTGCAGATCTGTAGAGCTGAGATTCTTGCACACCAGGTACCAAGGGGAAGGTGGAAGGAAGAAGGCAAATAGTTATTAAGTATGTACTATTTACCAGGCAGTCAGTAAACATTAGCTCACTTAATCCTCACAAAGACCTATTCATCCTTTTTTTTTTTTTTAATGGATGAGGAAATGCAGGGTCATGGTGGTCAGGATGGGTAACTAGAGGAGACATTTGATTTTGATTTGTGGGCTTTCCGACTCTACTCAATCCTCTTTTATTTGTTTTTTTTTTTTAATTTTAAATTTTAAAATTCTGTGTGCGTTGGAGGAGGGGCTTGTCTGGGGATCACAGAACTGAGTTCGGGGATTGGTTCTCTCCTTCTGCCACCACGTGGCTTTCAGAGAATGGACCCAGATTGTCAGCCTTAGCCCTGTTTTGTTTTCCCGAATATAAAAACAGCAGCTCTCCCGGGATTATGGTAAGGGTTAAATGAGATTATGTGGATAAAGGCTAGTCGGTGCCTGGTATTAAGGTGTGTCTTCAGTAATGCTGATATGATTATGTGACGGTCTTGTGTGTGCCGGGCATTTGAGTAGCAACACAAGGTCTTCTGGATGACATAGGCCATCAGGATGATCCAGATGGTAGATGACATAGGCCATTCGGGAAGGTCCAGATCTTGGGTGACATAGGCCATCAGGATGATCCAGATGGTAGATGACGTAGGCCATTCAGGAAGATCCAGATGGTAGATGACATAGGCCATTCGGGAAGGTCCAGATGGTGGATGACATAGGCCATTCGGGAAGATCCAGATGGTAGATGACATAGGCCATTCGGGAAGGTCCAGATCTTGGATGACATAGGCCATTCGGGAAGATCCAGATGGTAGATGACATAGGCCATTCGGGAAGGTCCAGATCTTGGATGACATAGGCCATTCGGGAAGATCCAGATGGTAGATGACATAGGCCATTCGGAAAGGTCCAGATCTTGGATGACATAGGCCATTCGGGAAAGTCCAGATCTTGGATGATATAGGCCACCGGGATGATCCAGATGGTGGATGCACAGAGAGACCAGCTGTGCACGTCCAGCTACTCGGGTACCTAGGCATCTTCTGGGAAGTGCCAAGGGATTAAGAAAGGCAGGGGTCTAGTCTGGAGAAGTCGAGCCAAGAGGAAGGAGGCTGGCAGAGACCTCAGCAGGCAGTGAACCCCACCACTACTGAGCAGGACAGCATGTGGCTGGGGGAAGAAACCAGGCCCAGGAATATTAGACTCTGCAGCTCGGGTAGTGACACAGAGTCTCCAAGTGGAGCCTGTGTTTGCACTAGGGACTCTGCCTCCCTGAGCTGAGGCTCTGTGCTTGTTTTCACCCTTCCTGGCTCCTCTCTTAACAGGGAGGCGGGTTTACTGGCTAGCCCCAGAAGAACCTGCCAAAGGAATCGCGAACATCAGAGAGGGCCAGAAAGTGACCCCATTGTTTTCCCCTTGCTCCCAAGCTGCATGTGACTGTTGTTGCCAGACAGCCTATGGGGTCAGGATGGCATGTCAGGAGGTAGAGGAACGGGGGAGGGGGAGCCCTGGGGTCCCCAGGACAGGGCTGGAGCTGGATATCACAGCTGCTACAGGCAGGTGTTCACAGCCCCCTCTCACCCCCTCTCCATGCAGAGACCTCAGTATGAACAACCTCACAGAACTGCAGCCCGGTCTCTTCCGACACCTGCGCTTCCTGGAGGAGCTGTGAGTTGATGGGTGGCTGGGAGTGGGGGTGTGGGCAGGGTGGAGGGGGGACACAACTCTCTGGTCAATAGCTGTAGGGACGGGGCTCCTCGAGCCAGGAGGAACTCAGGGAGAAGGGAAGAAGTTGGACTTGGGAAACGGGTGTGGGACACACCGGGACTCCTAGAGTGCCCATGTGGAGCCACGCGGCACCAGGGCTCTGAGCCAAAGCTCCCTGTGGATTTTCTCCGGCCCTAACCCCCTCCCCAAGACAGTCTCACCATGTAGCTCAGGGTGGCCCGAAATTCACCACCGTAGCTCAAACTGGTCTTGAATTTGCTATTCTCCTGCCTAACCTCCCGAGGGCTGGGATTTCGGCACGAGTCACCATACCCGGCGTAGCTTTCCCTCTTTAATTTTTTTTTCAATTTTATGTGCATGGGTTCATGTATGTCTGTATACCACATGCATGCCTGTTGCCCCAGGAGACAGAAGAGGGCATCAGATTCCTTGAAACTGAAGTTATAGAAGGTTGTGAGTGCTGCCATGTGGGTGCTAGGAACTGAACCCAGGTCCTCTGGAAGAGCAGGCAGTACTCTTAACCACTGAGCCATCTCTCCAGGCCCCGGCTTTCACTAGGGATCCCACTTTCTCTGGAAATCACCCTTGACCTGCCATCACCCCTAATGCCAAGGCTGTCTGCCACAGGAGGGGATGCTCCGCGTGGATGGGGCTAGCAGTGGTCAGGCAAGCCAGTTGTTAAAGGCAGCACAGCTTGGATCGGAGTGCAAAGGAGAGCTAAGGCCCAGGAAACTTGCTGTCTCCCACTCTGAGAAGCGGCTGCCTCTGTGTTAGAGGCCCTAGCTGAAGGAGCAGTCTACCAGCTAGGCCCATATACAGAACCCAAGTGTGGAGACCCAAGTGTCTCCTTTGAAAAAAAAGGAGATTTATTTATTAATTATGCATACAGTGTTCTGCCTGAAGGCTGGAAGAGAGGGTACCAGCTGTCATTACAGATGGTTGTGAGCCACCATGGGGTTGCTGGGAATTGAACTCAGGACCTTTGGAAGAATAGCCAGTGCTCTTAACCTCTGAGCCATCTCTTCAGTCCCAATTGTCACCTTTTAAAGCAACAAATGTGAAATAAAGAGACTAGAGACAGAGTTCCCCCCAGTGGTGGGGACTAAACAGGGCCCTGGGCACATGGCTCTTCACTCAACTGTATCCTCATTGTGGAATAGCAATTTTAAACAGCAGTTTCTAAAGCGGATGTGGCGCATGCCTCCAGCTCTGTAGAGGGTGGAGACAAGAGGATTGTGAATGCTCAGATGTTCTGGATTACCTAGTGAGGTCCTGTCTGAAAACAACAACAAAAACCCAAACAACACACACACACACACACACCCACACACCAAGCGACAGTCTCCTTATCTGAAATTTAGGGGGAATTTCAGGTTGAGCATTCTCGATCCCAAAATCTGAAATCTGGAACTTTTTTGAGACAGGGTCTCAGTATGTAGCCCAGGCAAGACTAGAATCCTCTGTGTAACCAAGACTCTCTTTAAATTCATAATCTTCCTGCCTCAGGCTTCCAAGTACTTGGATTGCGGGTGTGTACTGCCATACCTAAATGTAAAATCTGAAGCGTTTTGTGTACCTGACGTCATGTGACAAGTTTGAATCAAAATACAGAGCAATGAACTTATTGTAGCAGTAAAGGGTTGTAGCTCAGTGTTGGATTAATAACTCAACTCGTTTGAGGTACTGCCCTACCCAAACATGACATCATTGCATAAAACTACCTTCAGTTCCATGTTTATCAAGTAATCAAGTTTTGGTTTGGTTGGTGAGATGCTCAGGGAATAAGGGCACTCACCACCAAGCCAGACAACCTAAGTTCGGTCCCCAAATACCACATGGTGGATGGAGAAGACATTGGGTTGTCATTTGACGAGCATGTGTGGGTCATGGCACATATCCATCTACCTACATACACACACCAAACAAACGTGAAATCAACTGAATTTATGCTTAAACTTGGACCCATACCCTAGACAGCTCACTTTCTAGATGTAAATATTTGGAAATTGGACAGAATTTCAGCACCAAACACTCCTGGCTCCGAGCATTTCAAATAGGGGATACTCACTCACGGTATTGTGCACCTCCCAGGGTTAACTGTGAAACTGGGGCCAATGCCTGTGCATCGTACAGTAAACCAAAAAATGCAGTAAGTGGCCTGTACTGTCACCCCCCCACCCCACCCCCCGCACACCAAGACAGCAGCTCACCCCTTCATGGGTTACCTGGCAACAGCATTGACCTCGGTCTTTGATTCCAGGCGGCTCTCTGGGAACCATCTCTCACACATCCCCGGACAGGCGTTCTCCGGCCTCCACAGCCTGAAAATCCTGTAAGTAGTCACTAACACTTTACACATCAGTACGTGTGTGCCTGCGTGCGTGCGTGCGTGCGTGCGTGTGCTCGCTCCTTCGCTCTTGGCTTTGCTCCTTGATTGCCTGTCTCCACTTTTCAATTCACCCATTATTTCCATTCCTTTGCTTTTCCCTCATCTGATTTGTAAACAAAGATTAAGAGGAGCCCAAAGTGCCTGGCAGCCCTTTGGGGAGGAGGGGACTTTGTTTATGGATGATGATCACTGTAGGGCTCAGCTGGGGTTTATTTATTTATTTACTTACTTACTTACTGCATTTATCATGCATTTATGTCTGTGTGTGTAGCATGAGTGTGGAGGTCTAAGGACAACTCTGGAGCTGGGTTCTGAGGGTAGAACTCAGGGCCTCAGGCCTGACAGCACGCGCTTTTACTCACTGAACCATCTCTCTGGTCCTTTATTTTAATTTTTGAGGGCTGGGGATATAGTTTCCTTGGTAGAGTGTTGGCATTAGGTCCCCAGTACTGTAGAAATCAGGTACAATGGTGCATGCCAGAATTCAGGCTGATCAAGAAGCTCAGAGGATCAGACTGTTTCGCCCATGAGATGCTTGCCATATGAGCTTGCAGACCTGAGCAAACCACTTAGAAAGCCAGCGGTGGCTTATGCTTACAAATCCTAGCTTTTGGGAGACTGAGACTGGTGGACGCCCCCAGGGCTCAGTTGCTAGCCAGTGTAGCCTAACTGGCAAACACCAGATCCCAGTGAGAAAGCTTGTCTCAAGCAAACAAAAAACAAACAAACAAAAATAATAAAAAGAAAGAAAGGAAAAAGAAAGCAAGGTGGTTGGTTCTCGAAGAATGACATTTGAGGCTGACTTCCATGTGCACAGGAAGCCACACACGTGTATCTATCTGTACAAGCATGAACAGCATGAACAGGCATATGCGCACACACACACAAAAGTTCAAGGTCATTCTCAGCTACGTGACTTGAAAAAAAATTTTTTTTTAACCTAGTACTTTTTAGTTCAGCGCAGTTTTGTTTTGTTTTAGTTAGCATTCAAGACAATGGACTTTATTTTTACTTTGCTTTGTGTTAAAGTCGTTTAAATGTCCTCACTAAGGACATATCTCATGACCCTAGCTGGTGACACATAGTATGCCCTGTAACATTTTCGTCTACACATCATTGTATGGCCGCTCATATACACTTCCCCACCACCTCCCACCCTGAAGTTCTTGATGGACTTTTGTTTTGTTTTTTGGTATTTGGATTTGTTTGTTTTTTGTTCTTTTGTTTTTCGAGACAGGGTTTTCCTGTGGCTTTGGAGCCTATCCTGGAACTTGCTCTATAGACCAGACTGGCCTCGAACTCACAGAGATCCTCCTGCCTCTGCCTCCCGAGTGCTGGGACTAAAGACGTGAGCCACCAATGCCTGGTGGGTCTCTGGATTTTTGAGACAGGAGCTTTCTATGTAAACCCGACTGACCTGCAACTCAGTAACTTGATATGTAGACCAGGGTGCCCTCAAATCTGTAGTGATTCCCTTCACCTCTGCCTCCTGAGAGTTAGGCTTGTAAGTGTGAGCTACCCCGCCCAGCCTGCCTGCCTGCCTCCCTCCCTCCTTCCTTTCCTCCCTCCCTTTCCTGAGGTAAAGTTTTGCTTAGTTCAGGATAGCCCTTCCTATCCGAGACTCTGAAGTACTGGAATTACAGCTTCCATCTTTTTGTTTAGTGCCTGTGCATGCAGCTCTGAACTCCCATGGCCGTTGTGAAGGGATCTCCTTCAGACCAGGCTGCTTCCTCCATGCCCCTAGTTCCTTCTCATGAGCAAAAGCAGCAAGAGCTTGGGAGAGGACCTGTCGGTCTCTCACTTGGCTCCTCTTGCTAGTGAGCTGGTCAGCCCATTGTAGAGAAAGGAAGGCTGAGGCGCTATCTCTTCCCACCCCAATCCATGATGCACTTTGGCCTAGCTGTGTCCATCTCTCCAAGAGGGGTAAAGGTGGGAGAGGATGGGGAGAAAGGGATACAGGGCTGAAGGCGGGTGGAGATCCCAGAGTGGGCACAGCATTCCAGGGACCAGTGTGGAGAGAAGACGAGCATTTGAGGGGCTGATCCTAAAGCACCTGGGACTTCCCTAAGGTGGGGCACAGCTTTCCAGTTCTGCTGTTTGGCCCCGACCCTTCATACAGTGGCGCAGGTTGTCCGCTGCACAAAAGTATCTGGCGGAGAGGAGAGGGTCTGAACTCCAGTTCTGCGTCCAGGTTTGGAATGGTACCCACCCAAAGGGAGATCCCTTTCTTGCTCTCTCAAAGTGGCTCATGGGCCGACAGTGGTCCTTCGTCTGGAGCCCCTGCTTCCAGAGTCAGTCTGATTCTGTGCACTTTTAGTCTCTGGTATCCTCAGCTACTCTCTCCACCTGACGCTTAATCTCTGGCTCCCGGGGTCCTGGGCACCCGGGCTCCCAGGCTTCTGCCTTACTGCGGCTCCCCAATATCCTCGGCCCCCTGCTCTCTGTCCTGTCAGCCAGTTACCAGCTTTCTGAGTTCTTGCTGCCTCTCTGTCTCACTCCCTACAGCTGCCTGCGTGCAAGGGGAGTGGGGGAGGAGGCATCTCGAACCCATAGCGCAGCTTGGTGGCATATCTGTGCCCAGTGGCAGGTTCAGACCTGCAGCGGATTAGAGAGCGGGTTCTGTTTGCTGGGTCTTCAGAAGATGCGAGCAAGCGAGGCTCACGTCCCATTCCTAAGGCTCCAGCTTTAGAGATGAGCCTTCTCTTTCTTCTCTGCCTACATTAGGCAATAAATCAAAGCCTGGGAGAAACCACAGCCCGCCCCCTTTCCAGCAGCGGGCGCCTGGGCCCAGTGAGCAGTTTGGCCAAAAGCTGTGGGTGGGAGCCAGGGCAGCCAGGCTGCTCACCCCCACCCTGCCAGTGACCCCCATTTTGCTCCATCTCTGAAATCACCAATCACTAGGGCCTTGTGTCTGCAGAGATCCCTGTCCAGGGCCAGTGGGGGACGCTCTTCTCCCCTAGAGCTTCAGAGTCGCAGAGTCCATGTGTGTCCTGGGTGCGAAGTCCTTTCCGACAGCCAATGTCACTGTCACTGGTTGCAGGTTATAAGAAAACTAGAGCCCACCCCCACGCTAAGAGCTTCTCCCTATATAAGGAGACTGTAGCTGTCCACACTCAGACCCTTCCCAAGGCTGTGGCTTCCATTCTCCGGGGCCTGGCCAGGTGGAGAGGAAAGGGGAGATGTGGGCAGGATGACAGGATGGATGCCCTGCCTTCCTTTCGTCCTGGAAGCGAACAGTGAAATGTAAGGGGTCTCTCTCCCTTCTTAAGGGAGTGAGTGCAGCAGAATTCCTCCCAGGCGACCTCCTCTGTGGGTTTCAAGGGCCGGGTGCTAAATTCACAATCCTCTGACTGTCCCGCAGGGCACCAAGTAGCTTCAGGCAGAGCTCCTGGCTCCCCGTCCCAGTCCAAGGGCAGCCCAAGGGGTGTGCGTATGTGCTGGGTTTCCCTACACTAACTTCCCTCAAAAGCTGTCATCTTAGAAAGCAAGTGTGGTCTAGCCTTGGCCCTTCCCATCCTCTGCAGACCTCTCAGGACCACAGTCATCCTGGTTCAGGTCCACGCGGCCCCACCTAGAACAAGCCTCAGCTGCCGCATACCAGGCCCAGATTTGAGTCGGGGAGGGATGCTCAGGGGCTTGCCTCTGCTCTCTGCTTTTAGGAGCCTGGGCAGGAGGGTTTCCCTGGAGGCTCTGCTCCCGGAGAGAGCCCAGAGCCCAGAGTTTATGACCGAGGATCTCTAGCCGGTATCCTCTTAGTAAAGACTAAAGTTGTAGAAACTATTCCCTGCTTCTGATCTTGGCCCATCCATCTAAAGCCTGGCTGGAGGCAGAGAGGAGTTAGATCTCAGGCTCAGCCCAAGGAAACCTAGCAAAGCATCGATTCGATTTTAGCCCTTTCCTCGCTGTGTGGACTACCTCAGAAGGACGCTGCTTCCTCTCTCTCTGGACTGATTGAAAGTGACCTGGCGTGGGGGGGGGGCGGGACACCACACACGACTCCTGTTGCTTGGGAGCCTTGGGCTCTCCAGCCTGGCTTTTGAGAAGGCTGTTCCTCAGCAAGAGGCCAAGCCCCACCCCCACAAGGGACTCGATGGCAGGAAGTGGCTTCAGAGAGACTTGAGGGCAGACTCAAGGCCGTGTGGGCAGCAGGGAAGATGTCCAGATTTCTACTCTCTAAGACTTAGTTTCTCTTCCTTGTATAGTGAGGGAGTTGGCCTGAATTCCTCAGTAATTTTAGTTGCAGAATTGAAACCCAAACTCCAAACATTGGCCAGTGGGTAACGGCGCATACCTGTACAGCAGCCCCGAGGAGGCCGAGATACAGAATCATCGAGTTCAAAGCCAAGTTGGGCTATATGTCAAGACTCTGTCTCTCTCAAAAGGCCAAAGCCTGGGGCTGGAGAGACGGCTCCGAGGCGAAGTGCACATGCTCTTCTCTCTTGTAGAGGGCCAAGGCTCAGTTCCCAGCACTCACGTGCTCGCTCACAACCGCCTTTAACTCCAGTTTCAGCAGTTCCAACACCCTCTACCAGTTTCCTCCGGTACTAGGCATGTATGTACATGGTGCACATACATACATACATACATACATATATATATAGGCAAAACTCCTATACATTTAAAAAAAATCAGTAGCAGAGTACTTGCCTAGCATGCCAAGGCCCTGGGTTCTATCCCCGCGTGGGGAGAAACAAACCAAGAGCTCACAGAAGCGTGAATGCATGAGCCTGGCGGAGGAGAAGCTTTTCTACAGGGTGCAGAGGGTGGGTGAGCTCCAGACCCTGACTCACTCATCTGCGTAAGTAACTCAATGGCACCACATTCATAGGAAGAACCTTTCGGGGCACACTGGGCAGGGCCTTGACTCTGACACCTGCCCCCTAGGTCTCTGTAGTTCCTGGTTTCTGTTCTCAGATGCTTCTCTGGCAGGAGAGAGGCTCTGAGCATGCTCTTTGTACATGAGCTGGGCGAGGGTTGCTGAGGGTCAGACCTCCAACCTCCACTGGACAAAACGTGTTTGCACATTGGTCTCAGCCTGGAACCTTCTACTACCCCCTTCACCTCGTCCTCAGGGAGCTCGGGAGCCCGGGCTGTGGAGTCATCTTCAGGCCCGGGGTCTGCCCCTCCCCCCCCTTTCGGGAGAGCTGTGTCAGGTGACCGTTTCCAGAGCTGTCTTGTTATTTCTTTCTGTGTGGTTCTATGAGATTGCGTTGCTAGCTCTACCACCGACGGAAGTGTTTGTTGGTGGTGTTGGAGCTCAAACCTAAAGTCTCACACATGCTAGACCCGAGCTTACTGCTTGAGCTACATCTCATCTAGCATCACTATTTGTCATTGTATCCATCATCATCATCATCGCCATTGCCGTCTGGACACTGGGGTGGAGCCCAGGGCCTTGAGTATGCCAGGCAAGTCCTCCACCAGCCCTTCTGAGCAAAAAGTCTTGTATGTGTCCTGTAAGTCTCTTCCCTTGAACGAGGAGGGAATTGAGGCTCAGAGAGGGGAAGTGACTTCCTTGATTCAACCAGTAAGTCCGAAGAGACCAGACAGTAATGGCAATACCTGATTGTATTGGCTAGGGTGCTATGAGTTCTGTCTGTATAAATATATAACACATTGCTATAAAGCGAATGCTCTGCAGGACCCACTTTATTTGATCCGTGTAACCAGCAAGCAAACACGTGGCTGTCACAAGTTCACGGGTGGGGACCTGAAGTTTGAGCACTTACATGGTCACACAGCTGACCTTTAGGCAGGGGATCCCGGCTATGAAACTTCAGAGCTTGGACATGGGGCATTGTTAAGTAAGCTGGGGAGACCCAAGTTTAAGTCCCATCCATGAAACAAACTACTGTCATCAGTAAGGTCTCCTTGGCACTTTATCAGCCTGGGCGGAAGGGACAGGAGGCTAAGAGAATGACGACTGCATTAGAGCATGCGCAAGGGGGCTGGGCCCTCCAGCTTCTTCCACCTGCAACCCGACTTTCCCTCAAGTTATCTTCCTCCAGTGATGGCCCTGGGTCCCAGGGGTCCCAAAGTCTGCCTTTGCTCTCACACACCACTCCACACCAGCCCTGCCCCCCTTCATTCTCCCACACGCGACTTTCCCCAATCCCCAAGAGGAGGCCAGCAGTGAGAGCAGGTGTGAACGGCCAGGCTGGCCTCACCCTGAGGTGAGGCCCTTCGGCACTTTCTGGCCCTACTGTCTCCTGTCTCTCAAGACATGCTGTGTCGTGTAACATGCTCAGACTGGGTTCTAACCCTCAGGGGACCAAACCCAGTCCTACCACTTTATCCACTTTGTGGCCTTCAACATAGATAACAGTAACCCCGTAAATCAAGGTTAACACCTAACAGGGGCACCCGAGAAGCCCCAAGGGCTGATTCTGGCCCATTAACTGTTGCTGTTAGGTCAGAGGACAGGTTGCTTCTCCCAAAGTCTGGCATCACCTGAGGGTGCTTAGCCTCTCAGAGCCTCAGTCTCCTGCTCTGAGCAATGGGCTGGTGATTCATTGTAAAAAGGAAGTCTGAACCCCTCAGTGTAGACAACATACCGAGCACACAGTAGGTCCTCACTGGGTGCCCCCTTTCCAAGGCGTCCTGGGAGCCCGGCCAGCTGCTGCGGCAGACCTGTACGGGCTTATGGCTACCTCTGTGAGCCAATGCTTAGGGCAGCCTGGGAGGCTCAGGTCCTCGGCCCCTTTCTGCTCCCTGCCTATTCCCTGAATTTGTCTTGTGCCTCATGTCTGGATGTAGAGCCTGGAGATTTAACACAAAAATGCCCATGGGGCATGAAAGATGGTCCAGTTGGTTGAGGGCAAGGACTTGGTGAAGTCCCTGGGACCCACATTAAGGAAAAGCCCCATGTTGTTTTACACCTCGGAGATTGTAACTGGAACTCTGCGGAGTCAGAAACAAGCGAATCCCTGGGATTTTCTAGCTGGCCAGCTTAGTCTACCAGGGGACTCTAGGCTCAGAAAACAAGGTGGGCAGCTCCTGAGGAATGGCTCCTGAACATGTCCTCTAGTCTCCACATACATAAGCACCCATGTACACGAAGACATGCACGCACACACACACACACATGCACACACATACATGCACACACATACACGCATGCACACGCACACACACAGTGTTCTGGTGATAGATAACCTTTTCATAATGTACTCATTTAATTTTGTGTGTATGGGTGTTTTGTCTACATGTATGTTTTGGCACCATGTATGCCAAAACAGGAAGTCTGGAAGAGGGTATCAGGTGCCTGGAGTTGGAGCTACAGACAGCTGTTAGCTCCCATATGGGTGCTGGGAATGGAACCCAGGTTCTCTGGAAGAGCAGCCACTGCTTTAACCACTGAGCCGTCTCTCCAGGCTGTTTTTGTTTGTTTGTTTGTTTGTTTATGTATTTATTTAATTTTCCTTCTTCCCATTTCTGTTCTCAGTATTGTCCTTAGAACTAAGCATGCATAACTCCTTGAACTCTGAGGTTCCCTGCACAGCTTAGTTAAGGCCCCTGTCGTACCTGGATTCCCCTGGGGCCAGCAGCACCCTGTTGTAGAGGTGCCCATGCTCTCCAACTTCCTTCACAGGTTTCTAGGCCCCCAGAAGCTTTGTGGTTCCTTCCTTTGGTATCTTCCTGGATTTTGTGGCTGTCTCTGTTTTAGGCCAGCAGCCTCAGAAACAACTGCTTAGTGTGTGTGTGCGCGCGTGCGCTTCTATGAGATGAAGCCACCACATCAGGCTGATGATGGTGACACTTGAAATTACTTCCGTAGACAGAACTTCAGAAAGCGTATGTCCCCTAGACCCGATACTTGAGGGACACTCTTCAGTCAGCTTCATCCATGTCTTCCTCTCTCACAAAGAAGCCCTTAGCAGCTCAGTTAATGGACAGGGAAACTGAGGCCCGGGAAAGAATAGTGAAACACTTCCTGGCCAGAATTCAGCAGAATCTTATCTATCTCTCCTGTTTTCTTGGAACCCTTTCCCACTGTAGCCCAGGCTACCCTGGAGCTCAATATACATCAGTGCCCTTGAACGTCTCTCTGCTTTCCAAGTACTGGGGTAAATGTCTGTGTCTCTACTTGCCCCCCCCCCCCCGTGTGTTACAAGCCCTTCCTGAGGCACCTTCCCCTCTCCCACACGGGGCCTTCCAATCCCCCCTTGGACCTCAGCAATACCCCATTCCCCACTAACAGGGCGGGGGGCTACAGGAGAGGAGGGGAGTTTCAAAGGAGCCCCTACCCCACTGCACTTAGTCCAGTGACTCCTAACAGACCTCTCTGTCCCCTTCAGGATGCTGCAGAGCAACCAGCTCCGAGGGATCCCAGCAGAGGCACTGTGGGAGCTGCCCAGTCTGCAGTCACTGTGAGTCACTGGGGTCCACTTGCCTGGATCTGGGGAAGAGGCCAGGCCCTGCTGCATAGTGTCCCTTTTTCTGAAGCCCACTCTCGAGTCCCCATGGTGTTTCTGGCTCTGGATTTCTGAGGGTTTTTTTGGTTGTTGTTGTTGTTGTTGTTTTAAGTGTGTGTTTATGACACGTGAGTGTTTGCAGGACTGTGGGAATGGAACCTCCCTAGGTAGGGCCACCAGGGCAGCAGTCCTGAGGTCATTGGCGTTCTGCCATGGGAGCTGGGATGTGGGGTGGAGACTTCCATCCCAAAGAAGCACCAGGAAGGGGCTGTCTCCTCCCCTTAGCTGGCTTTTGCCCTGGAGCTCAGTAGTAGTAGTAGGAGGGGGTCAGGTTCAGACACCTACATCCCTAGCTCCTTAGCTAAGAGAAGGGACTGTGATCACAGACTCTGGGCCACCCAGGGTAGATCCCACCCTCCAGGGGGCCCTGTAGTTCCTCTTTTAGCCAGCAGGGGAATCATGGCCACAGGACTAAGCCTGCCCATGAGTGGGAGAGGGTGCTAAGACTGACTGAAGGAAGCCAGTCATGTACACCTATTGGGTTGTATGCGTGCTCTGCCCAGCGCAGGGCTGGGGACATGGGCGACATGGTAGGTGCCTCACACCTGCCTACAGAAGCCAACTGAATTTTTGGTTGCACCCACATCCATCCATCCAGTGGGGTGAATGTGTATTTTGGGAAAATCAGAGTTGGCGGATAGGACTCAGGTAGGGGTGACATTCAGCATGTAGGGACCTAAGCCCGTGAGATGAGGGACACGGCTTGCGATGTCCTTGGATGTCGGTTCTGCTGTGGCCCTGCCTAGGGCATGGATGTGGAACCCACACAGCCTTAGCCTGTTTTGATTGTCCTTGAGCAGAAGGCAAGAGACAGGGGAAATGGCTTTTCTCTGGACTCTACCTTTAAGTAGAGGGTCCCAGGCCAGCTCTAGTCACAGCCACCACAGTTTGGGTTTTCCCCTCTTTGGCTAGTTGGCTGAGTGGCCTGGGTGGCCCCCGGGAGGCCGAGGTCAGTAGATGAAAGCCAGGGAAGCCTGTGGGTGCCGTCTTGCAGGCAGACTAAACATTTGCTTAGGGCACCAGCGAAGAGCTTGGAGAGCCAAAAATAAGAGGTGGATGGGGCGGGGGAGGTTGGCATTTCAATCAAAGCATCAAACAGACTCATAGGAAAATCTTGGGCTTATTTTGAAGTTAAATCATTAATTAAAGAGAAGTGAGTCACACCTTTTGCTGAGGTCTCCGAAGCTGTTGTTTTCAGAGCAGGCCTGACACTTTCCGTTAGACACACAAGTTCCCTCGTGTGTGCTGAGAAGTGGGCAGAGCATTCACCAGCCGCACTGCACTGCTCTGCTTAGGCAGGTGAGGGCAGAGACCAAGGCAGATGGCTAGGTCTCGCCTCTTGTGACCCTGAGAACACCAGCCCGCCAGAGAAAGCGTGGCCCCAGACCCCGCCTCTGGACTCGGTACAGGTCTCAGTTTCTCTGTCTTCGTGACCATACATACCCTCCTCACCTCCAAGGGCTTTTCCGAAAAGAACACACAGAATGCATCTGAGAGTGATGGGATGGAGAGACGGAAGGCTGCACACAGCTGTGACAGGGTTTGTACACCTGTCCAGTCATGGGCTCATTCATTTCAAAATACGCCTGAGGCCGCACTAAGTCAGCAGTGTTTGCACTAAGTCTTGAAGATAGGGAAATGTCGATCATGTGAAGAGGGCAGGAAAGGGCAGAGGGCCCTCAGGGTGCTAAGGTAGAGAGGTAAAGGGGAAGAATTGAGCACTGGGGAGTTTGCTGAAGTGTGTAAGTGTGTGCGCGTGTGTGCGTGCGCGCGTGGCAGGCAGGGCAGCCGTGGAGGAAGAACTGGGATTGGCAAATGATGCCCTCTGACAGGCGGCTGTCACTTAGTTAAGGATGCTGTAACAATGACCGAAGGGAACCCAGGACTCTGAGCAGGACAGCAGTGGGAACGCTTAGGTTTTTGAAAAGTCCCCTTTTGGCAGCAGTGATGGAGGCTGAGGGGGTGGGGTGAAGGCCAGGCTGCCGAGGGTGACTGACGATGGTGTGGCGGTGGCCAGAGGACAGGCAGGGGCGGCAGTGAGGGGAGAAACTGATGGGCTCTGAAAACTTCAGCACTTGGGAGGCAGAATTCTTTACGCTCACACTTGGGCTGCTCCACAGGCTTCCTGGAAGGAAGGCCGGGGCAGATCGCTCAACCTCCATCCTCTTTTCCCTTTTCCACACAACCACGGTCTACTAATGTCACGGCACGAGATGAGTTCAAGGTACGGGAGAGACTTGGAGCAGTGCCTTCTGTCGTGGGAGTAGGGGGAGGGGAGCAGTCACACCGACACCCAGTTCTCAGGCTTTGACACCATGGTAAGAGGATCTGGTCAGCAAGAGCTTGGCACATGGTGGAACTCGTATAGAACCCGAGTCCTGGCTTAACCAAGGTGATCCCAGATAAACCAGAGGTTGTTCATTCTGTCTCCAGGGTGCAGGTGTGCGTGTGTGTGTGCACGCGCATGCGTGCACGCGCAATCATGCATGTACGTGACTGTGCAATTGCATGTGTGTGGGGAGGGTGAGGAGGAAATACCTAATGTGAGGACTCAGAATGGCAGGTGTTGTATCCCGAGCTTCTGGGAAGTGGAGGGGTCAAGGAAAGGGCACCTCAGACACTGAAGGGGTCTCCCCACCAAGCTTAGTCCCCACCATGTCAGACAGCAACGGTTAAGACCAGGCTTTGTTAGCAGATTAAGAGGACAAATGTAGCAAGGCCAGTGTGACAAACCTATGCATCAGCTCCGTGTGTCAGATCTACCGTGTGGCTGCCTCAGCTAACTGAAGCGGGCACCTGCAGGAGCGTTTTGGGGCCATCCAAAGTCGAGTTGTTGAGGCACGGACAGGGGTACTTCAGCTGTGGCATTCAGATGTGGGATTCCATCTCCTTGATGCCCATCATTCAATCCCTTCCTCCTTATCTCTTTCCATCCATGCTCTCCCACAGCATGGGCTGCCCTCTTAGAGCAGGCAAGAGGCACAGTGGGACCCCTGTCCCTCTAACACCTCCATACAGGGGGCATCTCTGTTCTCCCGGGGCCATGCATGGTTCAACCCCAAGGATGGGCCTACCCTCTACCAGCTAGAACCAGATACAAGGAACAGGAACTAGGTAGGGGGGAGCCCAGTGTGGGCCTGGGGCGGGTTCAGGGCAGCCAGCCTGCATTCCAGCGGCCATGTACTGAGCTGGATGTGGCACATGAGATATTTGGTTTGGCAGCTGGGCTGGCGGCACCGTACTCCCCAGTACCCCGCTTTGCACCACTTACTTCCTCTTGGACCAGCGTGGGAGGAGAGTGCAGCCACACCAGTCATGTTACATCAGGCATGAGTCCAGGCCAAGAGAAACCACTGTGAGCCCGAGGAGCTTAGGCTGGGCCTGGGCATCTTGGGAAGCACAATGGCAAGAATAAACAACAACAAAACAAAAAGCAGACAAATGAACAAAAAACAGAAGAGGACAGGAAAGAACCCTGGAGTCTTGGAAGCCCTGCGGAGTGTATATCACCAAGGACAGCCACTTGGCAATGGCCATTATGCTACTCTTGAAAGCCCTTCCAGGCAGCTTCTAGCTGTGACCATTTTATAGATAAGACAACTAAAGCCAGAGAAGTTCAACAGCTTGCTGGAGATCACGCAGCTAGGACAGAGCAGGGGTGGGATTTTGGATGAGATCACACTCCACATCTTCCTTTTGCCCTTTAACTCCTCTTCAGAGCTCTCACACCTCAGGGTCCAGAGATTTTGTTTCAAGTCTTGTCTTTATCGCTAGCTGCCAATCACCTCTCCTCTTTTAGCCTAGGGTTCTCCATCTCTAAGGTGGAAAGGTCAAATAAGATGGCTGGACAGCCAGGCTCTCAAGAGAATATCCTTCTTAGAGATGATAACTTTCTGATAAGGTCCCTGGTCCCGTTCTGGAATGGCTGATGACTCCTGAGACTTGTTCACTCTGGGGCTCAGTTTTACTGTCTGTCCTGTGATCATGTTCCCTGGGAACCTTCCTCGCATCGTGGAAATGCAGCAGAGCTGGACAGGGAGAAGAAAAACACGAATGACCAAACATTCGGTCCCATGCCAGATGTCCCCTGAGGAGAGGAATAAGAGGGGTCCCGGGAAAGATAAGGCAGGTGACCCCCCTCTTGATACTGTGACCTACTTTGAGGGGACAGCTGTGCACAGACTGATGCCCCAGGCAAGGTTAGTAAGAGCAGCACACAGATGGCCCTCAGTCCCTTGCACCTGTCAGGTCTTCATGCCACTCCCGTGGGACCAGTGTTACCTCTGACTTCCCTTCTTCACTTCACAGACGGGCACCCTGAGACACAGACAGGTGATGCCATTGCAGTGGAAACACCATCAAAGCTCAGGGGGTCCCAAGAGGACGCCACTCACACATCCACCACCCGTAGCTGCCTCCGAGAGGAGAGGATGGCCAGCCTGGGGGCTTGGCCACATCCGGGGGCTAGGGTATTTCCAGGGCACCTGCTCCAGGAGCTCTTTAGCTCTGCCATAGATGCCCGGGGATCCTAGATCCAACTATGTCTGCCTCTATCTTGGAATTCTAAAGTAGAGCCTAGGAGGATGGGACAGGGAGATGCTGGTAGCCTGAAGAGCTAGGGTCTGCCAATATGATATTAGCTTTGCCCCTGAGGATTCTTAGCCTTGGTGGGACCCTGATCACTTTGCGAGGGAGGTTACTAGCCTGTTGTGCCTAGGGACCATGCTTTGATCCATGTACAGCCTGGCTTATAGCATGCATCAGGGGGAGGCTCTACGGGATTGGACAGGACTGGGCACAGTCTTCTGGGGTGGCAGGAGGACTTTCCTCTCCATTCATATGTAAATTGTTAGGAGGTCACAGGGGAGGCTTGAGTGATCTCAGAAGAGCCAGTT